CACAGATAAATGGTGTTAAATCAGGTAACCCAAGATAATCCTAAAAAACTCAGTAAAGTGGAATTTGAGAGTTGAGCAGACTTTGGGTCGAAATTTCATGTCAGCTTTGTGTCCTGTTTTCTGTCTCCCTTTTTATTTGATATTGAATACAGCAGGCACAGGAGATGTCGCCTGGGGATGTCCCTCCCTCCAAGAATCATTTCAGGATTTGGGATGTTTTGGGGAGCTTTGCATGCAAATAGGGGAGAGGCAGAAATCAGACTGCAGCATGAGGGCCTGACACTTCTATCCTGTCCTTAATGAAATTAATTTAATGAAGTGTTAGTACCACAAGGATGGATAAAATCTGTCCTCTAAAGTCTGTATTTGGCTTCTGCTCTGTTCCTAAAACAACTCCCTGCAGCTGCAGAACTTTGAAAATTACAGTTTCTGTGAGAGATTGTGATGTGAAATGCTCTGTAGATACAGATTCTGCTGAATTCAACATCTGTAAAAGGTAAAACACTTTTTTTTGCTTTTCAGTCTGGGTTATTTGAGCTTTGTTGGCCTCGGTGCCTTCTGCCAGACCATCACCACTGCTGTGCTAACAGGTTTGATTACAGGTCAGTATTGAAACACCCCAGCAATTTCCTTATTTCCTTGGAGCCAATTTCTATGGGTAAATTATTTGTGGAATAAATGGAAACATGAATGCCAGGGACTCTTCAGAGCCAGTGTTTTGAAGAAATGTTTTCCACAAAGAAATGTTTTCCACAAAGAAATATTTTCCACAGAAAGAACCCAGCAGCACCATTCTTTCAGTGCTGAAGTTTTTTTTGAACCAAGGTTTAACAGCTGCCTTCAAACTGCAAACAGGAGAGGTGTAAAGATGAAAATACTTCCACATTTGGAAGTATTGCCTTTGTGACAGAAGATGCCCCAATCTGGGGCTCATTTTTTAGGCCATTTGGTGCAAATGTGACAAGTTCCAATAACATCAGGAGCTGCCTGAGCCCAGCTTTGATCAGAGAGAGCAGCAGAGCTCACGTGGGATGTTTTTTGTGGCAGCTGCAGCTTTTCCAGAGCCCTTCATTCTGTCTGGAGTCAGAAATGGCCAATGAAAATTGTTGGGAAATACACCTTACAGTGATTTTTTTTTGTGTTTTAATTGATCTAAAACCTTTCATTACTTCAAATAGGAATAATTTGTAGAAAAATCCAGCTGAAATAACCAAACATTCAGTGTTTAACCAATTGGTTAAAAATCCAGAGATTCCCATCAGAAATCCCAGGCTAACAGTGCTGATAAACCAGATTGTTTTGAATACTCATGCAAGAAATTCATCATTTTGATGTATTTTTATAATCTAACAGGATGTTTAATGGGGTTTTACCTAAAGTAATTTGTTTTTAATGTCACAGGCCTTGATCCTGCCAAGCCTCTCTCTTTGTATTTAAGTCCAGCTTGAGTCAGGGGCTCTGCTGAAGGATTGAGGTCTGAATTKGTGTTTTATCTGTTACATTTGGATAAATGTTACCAAGAAACCTCCTGTTACATAACTCTCCTCCCCTTCCTTTCCCTGGTGTTTATATTTACGTGGATATCTCTGTTTTTACCAACAGGTTTAATCTTAAACACCAAACTGCTCAAGGCTGTGCCTGTCTCAAAGTACTTTGATGATCAGTTTTACTGGGAGGTGAGTTCCAAAATCATGTGAAATTCACTGTCTGGGGGTTCATTTAGCACCTTGATGGAGAACTCCAGCTATTTGAATTAAAAATAGGGGGAAAAGAAAAGGATTATTCCTTTTCCCAGACATTTTAATGCATGAAATGATGCTGATGTGAGGCTTTACCTGAATTACAGAAATTATAATCTTCTTTTCCATTGGTTTGGGGTTTTTTGTAAGATGATTTGATATGTTCTGATACAAGAATGCTTGTCTTCACAGTTTCCCCACTTGTCAGTTGGATTTTGAATGGAGGATCCCAGCTGACAGACAGGACCAAGATAAAATTTTCATCTTTGTCACCAGAAAAAATTGAACTGCTATGATGGATTAAAAGAGAGCACTGAAATATCAACTCCCAGGCCCACAAAAGCCACCCCAATGGACACTCAAAAAACTGGTGTTAAACTGTTCTAGTTGTTCTTGAAAGATACAGAGTGTAAATTCACAGGTGCAAACTTAAAATGCATTTTGCTTTTCTGCTCCCTTGGCCTTCAATATTTTTTTTTTTGTAAGATATGTACAAAAATGTTGGCTGCATTCACAGCTTATCAATCCAAATGCTTGGAAACATTAAACYATTTTTAGCTCTCGAGTTTACAAGCCAAAAGGATGGATTTTAAAGTGTAATTTTTCCAGGAGCACTACTTATCTAGCAAAGTACTCGAGTTTTAAAGCTGAATTGATTCTGTTGAAAGCCTTGACAAGCCAGGATTTGATGAGTGAGCTGGAGCAGGGCCAGAGCTCTGCATCCTGCCAGACTGAACTCCTGGAAAAATCTGTCATTACTTGGCTGGGGCTGGAGGTTCTGAGGGTAAGAATTTAAATTGTGGATGGTGCTGCTGCCAAATGTGAAATACAAACTCAGGGCTGTCTCTGTGAGGTGACAGCTTGGCCCAGCACAGAGGAACTGGGAGGACTGGGAGGACTGGGAGGATGGGCTCAGTGCTGCCAGCACCCAATTTTGGAAGTGCTTTACTCCCAGACAAGCAGGGCCTTTGGGGACAGAGGATTCTCTGCAATTGAACCCTGGTTTTAAGTGGATTGTGAATCCTCAGCGTTTT